TTTATTTACAAACATCTGTATTTTAGTGTTAGAATAGAATAGATTAATAACTTTATTGTCACTTTGAACGTACACTAAATTGGCATACATTGAAATGAAATTTCATCTCATACAGCTCTCAAAGAGTCACCACCTCCAATATACACTACATAAATATGACAAAAATAAATAAATAAATAAATACAGAATTATGCATATACCCACATATATTATATGACATGTGCATGGGGTGAAAAACAAATCTTGCTAGTTTATCGGACCGATGGCATAGGGAACAAAGCTATTACAGAATCGTTAGAATTGTGTTGTTAGAATAATCATGAAACCTGTTTATAATGCTACATACATTTTTGAGCTTACATTTGTCTTTTCATTGTATAGATGAAATATATATAAATTCATGTGGTCATCTTTTTTATATGTCTTCTCCAAAGTCCTCTGGATTTTTAAGACTACAAATCTCAGGCTAGGTTAGGAAATGCTATCATTTGTTTCCAACAGCATGAAAGGTAGATTAACATATTTTGTTTCCTTATAGATCAACCCCAATGGCCTACAACATGCTCTCAAATCTTCTTTTTTAAAGAAACAAAATTAAAATACACCCCCCCCAAGTACATCTTGGAAAACAAATTACATATATAAACATATTAAAATTCCCTTTTAAAAGACTTTAAAAATTGTTTGTTGAAATAGGCTGAAAATTTATTTTGGGGAGTTACAGAATAACTCCAAAAAATTTGATGGAATTGTTCAAAAGTCCTTTTCCTTGCTAGCAGAACAAAGGACTGATTTCAGTCCTTCCTAGTTGTACCTGTAAGATATAATCCTAAATAAATAATTTATTTTTATATTTATTTTATTTACATTTATTTTAAGGATAAATATTGTGTGCTTAAATATGAGACATAATATTTCTCATTTTAAATGTTAACTGCATTTATAGTTTTATTAATCTTCTGTGACTTAAACCCCCTTATAATAATATAAAACTGACTATGAATGAAGATGAAGTCATCACTGTAAGAGTAGCTTTTTCCGAAAAAAGTATTCTCTTTGAAATAAAGTTCTATTCGCTATATTCCTCTTAGACTTCATATGAATTTTAGTGCCTTTAATTTTAGATTGAAGTGAAGTCTAGAATAAAAATCATTGGCTGACAATTGGATTTAAAGGCTGTTGTTAATATTTCAGACCTATAAAAAAGGCTGCAGGAAATCTGGTAAAGAAGGCAAATAGGAATCAAACTCTTTTTGTGGGCGAGAGGTTATTAAGGCAACTTGAAATGTAATGAGTAAGTAATGATTAGGAAATAATTACTCTGTTATAGAGGTCTGTTTTACTTTTTACTACTGTACCTCTCATAACAAGCTCAAATAATAAGTGCTAATAGGTTTATATCCAAAAGAAGTATTATCCAACCCCAAGGTTAGGAATACACATAACTAGTTGTAATTGAAATGTTTTATCAACATTTATCCCCCTTTACCAAAAAGGTGGAAAAGAGATAAATTAACTTTCAGGGAGCAAGACAAAATTTTCAGCAGGTGATTTTGAATTATAATTCCCTTTTTTGGTTGTCTTTATTTTCCTCCTTTTTATGTTAGTGATATACTTGTGCTATTGCTAGTACATTTCAACTGCCAGTTACCCCTAGGATGGCTTGGAGCGGGGTAGTGTGACTGGGTTCATTTATTATACCAGGTCAAAATGTGGTTTCTTCGTATTGACCTAACTTGTGTGAACGGAATTAATTGTAGCTTATTGAATTAATCATGATAAAACTATGCCTTACTATGATGTGCACACCTAGTCTATATCATTCTGTAGCTGGGTTTATATAGCATATTTTCCTCTCCATGTTTCCCAGACCAATTGCCTGTAAGGATAGTTAGCCTGGGAGAAAGAGACTGGCCCAAAATCACACAGCCGAGGAAATCCACTGAAAGTTTTTGGACCAGTCACTCATTCTCGATCCATCCTAGTTCACAGGATGGTGGCTGTAGGGAAAAATAAGAGGAGGGAGTGCACCTTAGCAAAAGGCAGGATACAAATTGAATATATATATATATATATATATATATATATATATATATATATATGTGTGTATATATATATATATATATATATATATATATATATATATATACATACATACATACATACATACATACATACATACATACATACACACACACACATACACAGATAATTATGATTAAGAAATGATTTAGGTTTGGTTGCAGGTAATACCAAGCCACAAGCCACAGAAGCTGGGATTTCACATCAAACAAGTAGAATTTATCATTTTGTTCCTTTAATAGTGTTACCTAAATTTTAAACCTGAATTTTAAACAGAAGGAAATACATCTATGTGGCATTAATGGACTTTCTAATGTAACACTTTATTCATTCAATAGCCAGAGATAGATTTTTACAATAGATTGCTTCAAGAAATGTGTGTTCCCTCTCTTTCCTGATCTCCTACAAGATGTAGTTGTTGTGATGATTAGAATGGCCAAGTGGAACTAGGTGGAGTAGCCAAATATAAATTTCCAGAATCAAACAGTATGATATATAAATTATATATTATGCAGTCGTTCTTCCAGTTTAATTTGTAGAAGAGTTCATTACATAACCCATTCCAGAGAACTGAGCACAGGATCTTTTCCTTAGCCATTTTTTTCAGGACAAAAGAAAAATCATCCCAAATGCCTTAAATCTTCACTCATATCAAATCTTTTCTTTTTAAAAAAAAATTATGTGAAATAGGAAGTTTTTTTTATAAAAAAAGAAAATCTATGGATTCCTAAACATTTTTAAAACAGTTTGTATTTTTTTCGAAGCTACAGAAATGTTATTCAGAGGCATCCAGCCCTTACAGTCACTCAGTAATTACTAGATTATGAGAGAATTATTTGATATTTTAATTAGAGACATACAAAATCCTGTGTCAGAATGAAGACATAGACTTATTGCTGATAGACAGCAAGAAGAAAGCCAAGCTTTAGTAGCCTAATATTTCATGCTGTATTTCATATTGTAATGTATTTAAGAGCTGTCTAACAAGTATAAATTAATAAATTGGATATTTTTGTAAAGATTCTACACTGAAAGGAATTCATAAGGTTGCAGTAATTGAGTAGCGATCCATTTTCTTTCAAATGGCCTTGAGAAAAATGTTTCAGAATAAGAAAAATGAATGAAGGTTTTATTAATTATAGATGTATTAATTACACTAGTCACCATAAGGTAGAAAATGGAGAGGAAACCTGATTGAATACAACACATCTGAAATATTTATCCTCTTCAAATAGTGGAAAAATATATTTTTTGGGCTAGACTTTTTCCTTAGTTGGATATCATATTGATTCTGTTCCTCATTATTAACATAATATTTATCCAGGTAACTGATGACAAATTTGCTGGATTAATAATCAGAATTTGTACTGACTTTGGGCTTGAAAATCTGCACCATCTTTTGCATCTTTATTGGAATTCCTAAGCAAAATTGGTACTCCAAGTGCCATGTTTTTGTCCCATGTTTAAATAGTCTTCATTTAGCAAAGGAATATGGGAATTCTAACAAATTCATTTCAACTATACTTTTGGTTTTGGAAGGATTCTAGGATTGTTTATATGTTGTGTATGTGTTGAATAAGATAAATATATTTTTGACTCTGCTGAAATAAACCAATCCTTATATAAAATATCATGACAAAAGATAGTTGGCTAATTGAAAAGAGAGAACCAACATTCTAATAACTAAGAAATTCACTGCAACATTTCCTTTCCAAATTTGATTAAACGCTCATATTTTTAAAAGGTAACATGTTCTAATTTGTTAACAGTTCATGAAGCCTATTGAGAACTCTGCCCATTTATTCAAAAGGGGTTTTTTCACCTAAAATTTAGTATAATAATCACATAGATGAATCAGTCAGATTGATACGTTCTTCAGGATTAGAAGCTATTTTTTGTTGAATATTGACCCAACTCAAATTTTCCTCTGTCATAAGTGAAATAGATTTCACTGCATTCTTGAAAATCTTTCAAAGAGTACATTAGCATGGTGTTTGTCATGACAGCACTGTCTCCTCAGTTAAGAAGCATATAGCAATCAATCTGCCACTTAGAAGAATTTTTTTCCAGTTTTAACAGTCAGAAAATGTGCAAGTTCAGATGTTTTTTACTACTTTGAATACCTCCTTTATAATAAGAAGAGATCAATGATCTTATCATCTGACAAGTAAAACTTCTGTTTCCTTCTTTCAACATTAGCAATTTTTCCCCAAAAATAGTCAAATATTGGTTTTCATGTCATATAGTCTTCCATATGTATTGGATGCTTGCATTATTATTGATTAATCCTATGGACAACAGCTAAAATGTAATTGCAGACAAAGCTTATGAATTATTCCATTTAGATTTTGTGAAAAAGAAATCAAGCTTAATTATCCACTGTAATCTGAGATCAAATATCTCTTTATAAATTTCTTTAAACGTGATTTATTCCTTCATACTGAGATCCAATCAATACAGAAAGTACAATCATGCTTTATCAAACTTGCTGACAAAAAAGAATTTACTGAGCAAAACATTCATCTGATATATACAGTAACAATTTTGATGTTCTTTGCTTTTGTTGTTACTGGAGGGTATAAATGTGTTGCTATAGGGCAAAGAAGTTCTAAGAACAATTTGGCTGTGAATTCATTATTACTATATATGACAACTTTAGAATCTGGAAAGGTGATTTAAAAGAAATTTATAAAAGTTCAAAAATATATTGTATTATATATTTTATAATTTTTGTCTATAGCCAGTCTGAGGCTTTGCTACAGCTCTATCAGGTGCTTATGCTGATTACTTTCTGTAAAACAAGAGGTATTGACTAATGAATGAATGATTACATCTTTAGCCTTTGCAGCACTGCCTTTAAATATCATTGTCTTTAATGCACAGAAACCTCTTTCTCTCCCATTCTCTTTACAATGCAGGCTTCTTTGCAGAATGTCAAGCAAAGATCGACACATTGATTCTAGCTGTTCGTCATATATCAAGACGGAACCATCAAGCCCCGCCTCCTTGACGGACAGCATCAACCATCACAGCCCTGGTGGCTCCTCTGACGCCAGTGGAAGCTACAGTTCAACCATGAATGGACATCAGAATGGGTTAGATTCACCACCACTCTACTCTTCAGCCCCAGGTCTTGGGGGCAATGGGTCTGTCAGAAAACGATATGATGATTGCTCCAGTACCATTGCTGAAGATTCACAAACCAAGTGTGAATATATGCTGAACTCAATGCCCAAAAGATTGTGTTTGGTTTGTGGTGATATTGCATCAGGGTATCACTATGGTGTGGCTTCATGTGAGGCCTGCAAGGCTTTCTTCAAGAGGACAATTCAAGGTCAGTGCTTGATCATCCTTTTCTCAGCTGAAGAAAAACCAAAGCACAATTCTGTTTCTCCTCCCCCCTCCCTTTATTTTCTATGGAATCATTTTGTACAATTTGATTGGATCAAATCATGCTTTTGCTAGGCTCCAGTACAGTCTGTTGATGTTGTTATGTGAGTGAAGGCTGCCCAGTTTAGGTTGCCAGTTTTCATTTTGATATAAAAAATTAGATTAAAATGTCTTATCCATAGAAGCCTCTTTCTTACCAGTCTTCTTTGGATGTGGGAGATTTCCTTATAAAAGTTAAGACAACTTTCCAGAAGTAACTCCTGATACCCTCTGTCATGCCTATGTTGGCCTTTATTTTGTCTCGTGTGTGTGTGTGTTTTAAAGACGTATTTGAACAATAAGATGACCAGTTCCAAAATACATTTTATAATTTATCATATTAATTTATCTCTTTGATGCTAGTTTAGCAAATAAGTCCTTTAGGTCATTTTACATATTTTACCTAAATTTTAAATATTTGTAGTCATTGCTGTCCTACTATTACAACTGATAAGCTTACACATACTTTATAAAGATCAATAATTAGGATCACATAACATACTAAGTCAAAACCAAATAAGTTGTGATATAGCTTATCATGGACTGTATGAATCAGGTTATTGTGTGATTTGTTACATTTTATTTATAAGGTAATTTCATGTCCTACCTTAAGTAATTCTGTTTATAGAAATAATACAGCTTTAGTATTAAAGGCTATGATGGGATCAACAATTTTTCTGGCTTTTGTACCATCAAGCAATTATGCTAGCTCAGACACCTTATAAGTAAAAGTGCAGAAATAGTGTGAAAATTCAGGCAAATTCTTATGTGAGATTGCCAAAATCACAACAGTCATAGGTGATTTTAATGAAATTTCATGAACTTTGACCGAATAGCAAAAGAACAGAGTTGGAAGGGACCTTGGAAGTCTTCTAGTCCAACCCCCTGCTCAAGCAAAAGACGCTATGCCTTTCCAGACAAGTGGCTGTCCAGTCTCTTCTTAAAAGCCTCCAGTGATGGAGTACCCACAACTTCTGAAGGCAAGCCGCTCCACTGGTTGATTGTTCTCACTGCTAGGAAATTTCTCCTTAGTTCTAGGTTGCTCCTCTCCTTGATTAGTTTCCATTCATTATTTCTTGTCTTTCTTTCTGGTGCTTTAGAGAACAGATTTACTCTCTCTTCTTTGTGGCAGCCCCTCAAAAATTGGAACACTGCTATCATGTCACACCTAGTCCTTCTTTTCATTAGAAATATCCAATTCCTGCAACTTTTCTTCATATGTTTTAGCCTCCAGCCCTCTAATCATTTTTGTTGCTCTTTTCTGCACTGTTTCCAGAGTCTCAACATCTCTTTTATAACATGGTGACCAAAAATGGATGAAGTAATCTAAGTTGGTCTTACTTTATAGAGTGGTACTAGCACTATTTATTTCTCTCCTAGATCTTTTGGCATCCTCAGGTAAAATAGCTTTTGGATTGCTGTGCAATTTCCTTGAGGATATTATGCATTACCCTAGATTATGAAAATGTCCTTTATTGAGTAATAATAATCAAATAATAATATCCCATCTGAAATATGATAATAATATCCCATCTGAAATATGTAGAGTTTCAGTTTAGTTACTTCCTGCTTCACTGTTTACAACATTAGTAAAATAAGAAAAATACTGCTCCCTGCTTAGTTATAAAATGACAGTAACAAGAAAGAAAATATTCACCAGGCTCCCACAAAGACAAGGATGAACATTGCTAAGATATATCTTTATTGTATATGAAGAAAAGGTAGTGTATAAACTACTTGAAAACTTCTTAGCTAGCAAGAAGGGCCATTCAGAATTTAAATCTGGTCACCTCTCACACCCTTCATGTTCTCTTTCAATGCCACTGTCACAAAAGAGAAAGAAAAGGTTCCTTTTTATCTCTAGCTCTCATAGTGTCTGTTGATAATACATACTAGCTTTCATTCTCTGCATTCCTACTATCCCATATTGGTAAGCCCACCAAGTTAGGCTAGAATTTTCCAGGCATTAATCAAATATTGACAGTCTAATATATGTTTATAGATTCCAGTATAACTTTTGTACAATTATATAGTTAAAAAAGAACCCAATGTCATCAGATTGTTTTTATGTGGCCATCTATCAGACATTAACCCAGAAGAAAACAGAACAAAACTCAAAACAAAAGAAATATAGGAAACTCCCTTAAGACTATTTGCCCATCTAACCTAGTGTTATTTACTCTGACTGGCAAAAGTTATCCAGGGGCTCATGGAAAGATCTGCCATCAGCTGCTATCTCACACTTTTAGCTGCAGATGCTATGCATTGAACCTGTGACTTTATGAATGCAGAACATATGTTCTGTCATTGAGCTACGATTTCTCCCCACTAAGCTGTAGAAAATCCCTGCAGAGAACACGTTGCTCTTGATAATTCAAGCTGAGGCATCAAAATAAAACAGAGCACAAAACAGGTCACAATCCAAATCCAAATCCAAACCGGTCTGGATAAGATGTCTTTGCAGTTCTAAAACTAAAAGCCAATGTCCATGTAGCACTGAAAATCCATGCAAGATTTCCTGAAGAAACGTCTGCCTAGTTATTCTAGACAGAGTTTTGATTTTCAGTGGTAGAAATAATAACATTGTGATTAGAGGCTTGAGCCCAGGGTATAGCATACTAAGTGTAGAATAACATCAAAAATATTCTCATTTTTGTTATGGGTAAAAGTTGTTTCAATATAGGATATGGATAGAATCTTTAGTTCATGTATTTAGAATGGAATAGAATAGAGCTGGAAGGGAGGACCTATGCCATCTCAGACAAGTGACTGTCTAGCCTCTTAAAAATCTCCAGTGATGGAGCACCCACAATTTCTGGAGGCAAGGTGTTCCACTATTTATGGATAGATTTTATTTATGGATAGATTTTAAAAGTATGGGATTATTTTATAATTTGGGGCATAAGATGATAAAGACAGTTGAATCATCTGATTGGTATTCATGCACACACTTACATAAGTACCGCACAGTACTTCTTATCCTATCCTCCAAATGAATAATTTGTTTCTTGAGTTGTAAAAGTTTCTGCCAAATTAATTGCCTAGATTTGGTTAACTTTTGTTTCTCTGAAAATAAAAGCAATAAACCCAATTAACTATCATAGCAGCAAAAAGAGTGACTATATCAAGGCTACCAGAAGATGCATGCTTTAACCCAAAGTCCCTACAGACAATATATTATTCTCCTTTCTCTTTCTGCATCTATTTCCATGATTGTAATCCCATTTATTCAAATGTATTGCTACTCTTCTCAATTTATATCTTACGTCAAACCATGATGACTTCACATCATAGAAAAGTGAAAACTAGCAAGTTCTAAAAATAGTACATTGATTTTTGGAGCTTGTCAATTTTATCTGTATTCAGTAGTAACTTGAAAAATGGCATGCTTTAAATAAAGAAGTAAATAAAATTCAAATTTTCTCTTTACAGGCAGTAATCCCCCCAAAGCCCTAAAATTATGACAGATAAAGATGTCCCTTTATTACAGAATGCTAATTCCATAGAACTAGTTCTTCCCAATTAAGAAAGCTTTGAACTTATGACCTTTTATGTTGTAATGAACTGTTAAAGTTGACAGTAGTTTCAATAGCAAATCATGATACAGGTATATTCTAGTTCTTGGACATGTCAAAAGACCAATTAGATAAAACTAACAGAATAATAAATAATAAGGAAATAACCTTTTATCATGAAAGCCAATGGATAGAAAGCCAAGTTACCATATAACTTACCATATAACTTGCCAAATGGAACAGTTCTGATGGCACAGACTTAACATGTGGTCATTCTATTTTTTTCACTTTAACAAAACTTGAAAGCTGTTAATTTTGACTAGATTATGTCAGTCTCTTAATCATCATGGTAGCTTATTACTAGATTCTCTAAAACCAATCTATAGTTGATTGGCCAAGTTGGTATGTGTGAAAGAGAGAAAGAATGGGCAAATCTTCCCCAATCCAGTTTCATGCAGATATATTGCACAATTTTTGTGCTGGATGAATTGATGTGATGGAATGTGCAGCTAGAGAAGGAATGGGGGAGAATGTCAGCAATACATGGCTTCACAGGGAGGCAGTACATTCCACATTCAGCCTTTACAGTCCTGAATTGGTTGGGGGAGAAGGAAAAGATTCAGAGTAGCCTCAGCCTAGAATTTCCCAACATATATCTTTAGAATGTTATAGCTTTAATCTGGTGAGATTCTGCCAATTAGGTGTAAGCAAATAAAGAACTGAACTCAGTCGGATATCACAACTGAACTCAGTTAGATATCACTGTGTTGTCTTTGGACTTAGGCTTCATTGTTGAAGTTTACCACAGTTTAAGAGCCTCAAATATGAAATGTCAAAATTGGTAATTTTGTAGGAGGAAATAGCTAGAATCATAACCATTGTTTGAAGTTTATTCAGGGAGATAGGTTTCAACTTGAGAACACTGTAGTGCCATTAATGGTCTATGTATAGTTATTTTTTTTTTTAATTGAAAATTTTTATTTTTTAAAACATACAATCATTTATAAAAATACAATAAAATTTTAAAATAGAGAACCCCCCCCTTACCCTCCCTCCCACCCCCACCCCCCCTCCCTTCACTTCCCAGAGCAGAATACAGGGTTAAGAAAAAAAAAGAAAAAGAAAATTATAATAATTAAAAAAAAGAAAAAAAAAGAGAAAGAAAAAAAATATCATAATTAACCTTTAACTCCATAACTTATAAAACAATTCTCTATAATATTTGATATTCATTCATAAAATAAATAAAACTTTTTAATTCCATATTTTTTCTGAATATAATCTATCCACCTTCCCCATACAGTAATATATCTTTCTTGTGTATGATCCTTTAAATAAGCAGAAATTTTTGCCATTTCTGCAAAACTAGATACTTTAAATATCCATTCTT